ACCCCACCCCAGCTTACCTCGTGCTGCTGGCCCGCCCCTGCTTCGTCTCAGACTTCCCGCGAATCTCTGATTCGCGGGAAGCAGGGGAGGGGGCGGGGCGTTCAGGGGAGGAGGGGCCGGGGAAGTGAGCTGGGGGCGGGGTTGATAGCTGCAGCGCGGGGCCCTCTTGGCGCGGGGCCCAATTCAGCCGAATCGGCTGAATCAGCCTAAAGCCGGCCCTGCCTGACGCTATCACTGTCCCATCACTGAGTACCACTGCCCATCCGGTGTGTGGCACTCCTTTGATCCTTCTACATACAAAACTATATCTGGATTCTCTAATGGCTCTTCTTTAATTCTTCCCAACACTTCCTCTTCTCTATTTATAAGACATGCGTGTACCTCTTCCTTTATGTTCAGACATTTGGCTACATTTATTTTTTGGTTTTTTTACTATGGAGAAGTTAGGGTTTTGCAAGCACAATATTGATTCCCACTGACTCCTGCGGGCATCTGTTACAGATCTTAGTCGCCCTTTGTTAAGAGATCAATAAGTGTATGGGGTGTATGGAGCACTAATTTCCCTGTAAGAGTGTATGATTCACAAGCTTTCACAGCCCACGTAGCACAATGACGCACTCCAGTAATCCCTGGGATACAGGGGGTCTTATGGTGTCTGTCTCCGGGAAGCTGGGTTGGTACAGCAGAATACTGGGTCCCGCTATGGCTACGGTAAAGGTGGAACGGCTTTCCCATATCGGGTAAGCCTGTTTTATTTTTATAAATGCCTCCTCTTATTCTGTGCCCCATATTACTAACTAATTTGCAGGCTTTCCCCCTCTAGTGAGGTTTTGAATTGGTTCCACCATCTCTGAGTACTCCGGTATATAGGTTCTACAGAAATTAAGGAGTCCCAGGACCTTCCAGACTTCCTTAACTGTCCGTGGTTTCTTTAACCCTAAAATTGCCTGCTTTCTGTCTGTGGTGAGTGCCTTTTCTCCCTGGGAGATGTTATGCCCTAGGTATAAAACCTGCTGCTGTTGCAGTTGAGCTTTCTTCGGGCTTAATTTAAATCCTGCCTCGCGAAGATACAGGAACAGTCTGTTTAAGATTTTTAAATGGTCCTTTTCATTTGAACTGGCAATTAGCAAATTATTTACATACTGTGGTATTACAGTATCCCCTTCCAAAGGCACTTGTGCTATTACTTCTGCCATTGCCCTGTGGAATATGGAGGGAGAATTATGGAACCCCTGAGGTACTCGGGTCCAAGTGTACTGCTGGTCTCCTACTGTAAATGCAGATTTCTCCTGAATCTCCTTTGCAAGGGGAATGCTCCAAAATCCATTAGCTACAGTCAGGACTGAGAATACTGAGTGTTCTGGTGTTAGCAAATTAAGAATAGTGGCAGGGCTTGCCACAATAGGATGTGCCTTTGGAGTCACCCGGTTAAGGTGGGTGTAGTGTATAGTTAACCTCCAGATCCCGTCTGGCTTCCTGACGGGCCAAATTGGGGAGTTAGTTGTGGAGGTGGTTTTTTTAATTACCCCTTTAGATTTTAAATTAGTGACTATATCTTTAACTGCCTCTAAGGCTTCTGGTTTAATTGGGTACTGCCTGTGGGCTTTGTGAGTTGGTCCTTCTACAGATATAGGCTTCATGTTTACTAGCCCACAATCTTGTTTATCTCTTGCCCCCACTCTGGTATTATTACCCTATTACTGGCAATCATGGCTATATTTTGAGATTTTGTTTGTTTGGACCCTTTGGCACATTCAATGCAGCTAGCTCTGGGACGGATTACTCCCCCGAGCTCCTTAGGAGATCTATGCCGCAAATTGTGTCTCCCTGCTCAGGGAAAACCCAGATTTGACAGACTGTGACTATATCTTAAAATTCTATTTCTACTGGCTGGCTTAGGATTGCTTTTAATTTCCCCCCCTCCCACTCCTTCAATCCATATTGTTCTATGGGTGAGGGGGAGATCTTGGCTGGTTATCGATACCGAGGCACCTGTGTCTTTTAACATGTTGCACCGTCGGCCCCCCACTCGTGCGTTAAGAAACATCCTGGGGTCGCCTTCGGTTCCAGCCACAGAGGCCGCTGATACCTGTTTGCTAGCCAGGAGTTTGAGCAACTCCTGGATTTGTTTGTTCTTATTTTGTTCTTGGGTACTAGTTGTATTAGTTTTATTTTGCTCATTTGGCCACTGCCCTTCTTTACCCCTTCCGGGGTGGAAGCAGTCTTCCTGTAAGTGGCCGCTCCTTTTACAATTACTGCATGTTTTGATTTTATTTTTATTTTTACAGTCACGTGCCAGATGTCCAGGCTTATTGCAAGTGAAGCAAGTAGTGGTTCTGACTGCATGAACCGCTACAATTTCCTCAGAGGGTGTGGTTGCTGCTACTTTCCTCTTTTTTTCTGTTTTCTATTTCTGTGGCCCATTTAATTACTGCTGAGTATGTCTCCCCACTGAAATGCCTAATGCCAGGACTGCTTGGTGATCTGCAGACAGCCCTTCCTTTAGGATTTGAAGGGATACATCATGGTCTCGGGATGTTATATTCTCCAGACATGAATGAGCTCGGAATGCATTCCATTTATTTTCAACATAGGACATGGCAGACTCCCCCTTCTGCTGAACCACAGACTGCAGAGCCCCCCAGTTAGTGGTCTGGGCTTCTAGAACAACAGATAGTGCATTCCTGAATTCTGTTACAGTGCCTGCATCTGGGTTTGGGATTCCTGCTGGTTCTTCAGCCTGATCCCCTCCCGCTGGGTTGGGGTTCTGATCTTCAACCCAGCGCCCTGTCTTCCATTTATTATCTAGGTTCTCCCACACATCCCTGGGGCACTTGCACTTGACCAGGATGTAAACGTCCTTCCTATGAAGGCCATGTATTTCAGTCAGGCCATCCAGCTTGTCCCAGAACTCAGTATTCTTGTTTTCACACTTGAGTTCGGGTAAATCAGACAGTAGTGCCTGTTTTTCCTGGGGGGGGTGAAGGAACAGTACATTTTAGTTGTGTAAGCAGAGTCAGGATGAGCTCTACCCTGACATCTGGTGGTGAATTATGGCGAGTGTGGAAAAGAACTCCAGGGGCTGATCTTGTTTGCATAGGCACACCCGCTCGCCTGGCATGAACCAACAGCAACTGAAAGTGGTTACTTTGGCTGGTGTGGGATCCCCAGTTTTCTCTGTTATTGGGGCAGGAAGAATAAAGTTTTGTTACCCTGATTCTGTGAATCAAGGCCAGTGGAACTGTTGTATGACAGAAGGACTGGGTGAGTCCTTCATCATTACCTAAGTAGCACTTGCTTGACAAGGGGCATGGGTTACAAAGCCCAGTGAATGGAGAGAGGACAGGGACAGGTATTTGCACCTGATGGGATGGGCCCCCTCTGAGGGCTCAACACACCAATTGCACTACCTCCTCTCTCCACTGTTGAATGTTAGAGCTAGCTTTATGCTCCCAGTACTTCTGTTAGTCTCAAAGGTGCCACAGGACCCTCTGTTGCTTTTTAGAGCTAGCTTTGATTCCATTAGGAGTCTAGTTACAGGCTGCTGAGCTGAATTCACTTTGGGCCAATGGTGCACTAGCACTGGGGCTCCCCTACTATGAGCTGAAATTGCTAAGAGCTGAA